GGAATAAGTGAAGAAAACAATAACAACAGCATGAAATAAAAGCAATTGGAAAAACCAGCTGGAAAAGTGCAACAAACAAACATGAAAATAAACAACCGACAAAAATAACGAATGTAATATAAAAAGGAAATTATAAAAAACAAAAACAATAATCAGAAACCAACAGACACATACATACAAAGTTTAAAGCACAAAACATAAACACAAATAACAACAACAACAAATACAGCTTTATAAGGGCGAATGTTAGTTGGAAAGGTGGCTGAAATGCGGAGGGCGATATTTTGTGTTGCCAATATTTACGAATTCTTCCCATATTTGTAAAAGTTTATTTTTAACGATATTAAAGCCAAGTTTGTTCATTTTTGAACAATTGAGCAAATTTCTCGAACTTCACAGTTCTGTAGATTAATCTAATTTAGAATTGTGTTTTTATCGTTATAGGTATGTATTTATGCGACTTATTAATGATGAACACAATTTTTGAAGTAGGTATGACCTAGGCAGCTACTTTATCGAAGGTTCAACTAATATGTCAAAGTAAGTTTTGGAAGGGTACCCTACAAAAGTAATACATTCGGTACACCAATATTTAAAATATACCTATTACACGATTCAAAAATTCTTAAAAACCCAATAAATCGAAAAATCTGGTATTATTGTAAAACTTTTAAATTTCTATAACAGACATGGACAATTTAACTTTCGAAATAGTAACAACTTTTACTGAAAAAGGGTACTTTTTGGTTTAAAAGTCCTTTTTTTATACAATCTTTAAAATCTGTACATAATAGGTATAATCCAAAAAAAAACTTTAACCCAGAGACCGAAACATACTTTTCTCGAAGAATAAACTGCGGTGAATCCAAATCAATCTTGAATATCAAAAAAGGAAGAATACTTAAAACAATTACAGTGTTAATGTCTAAAATATGGCTAAGTCGGTTTATCTGGAAAACTTAATGTGATTGAGATATTCTGAAAAAAGTGTCATATATTTTAAAATATAATTAGAGATTAAAATCTTGAATAGAAAATAGGTGCATTCGAAGATTTCAGCTTAATCTATTGCTAAGTATATGGTCTATTTAGTTAAAGTTTATAATATAGAAGAAGAACTGGGAATAAAGCGATGTTTTTCAATACCAAAAAGTTGAATAGTACTAAAGTTTCCAACCCTGAAAATTACAAATGTATGTGAGAATACTGCTAAATATATTTTGATGTAAATGTGGGAATTTATGGTAGAAGAAAAAAACCTAAACATTTCTCAACGTAAATATCCTCTTTCACAGTACTATACATATACTTTTTGTTTTTGTTTTTATTTCTTCAATGAACACTGATGACAGTGCGACCAAGTTTTAGGTGTTTTAGTAAAACCGCTTCCTCCCCCTTTTTAGAGTTCATAATAAAGTTTTCTTTTTTTTTTTGGTTATGCGAATCAAATACAAAAGAAATTTTTAATCAAAACATAAACTGTTGGAAAATTGAGAAAAATCGTTGCATTCATATAATTTGCTTTAGCCAGTCTTTTTATATTTGTTATTACAATTGTAAAACGCATGCGCGTACCAGCAGATTTAACAGAAGTCAATGTATCCATTTTACTAGATGGTCTTTATATTGAATTTTCAGTTCAGATGTTGTATTTGATGTTTGTAATGCTGAAAGAAATTTAAATGTCTCTTTAACATCATCCAGTAATCTATTGAAGTCTCAGTATTGCAAAGTGTGGTTGTAGTTTTTTAGCCAATTAGCTATTTCTATTGCCAGTTAAAAACTTTACAATAAAATGAAAAAAGCTTCTAGAACTACTGGGTTTTTACAAAATTTTAAATAAAAATACTTAAAAATGGAGATGAAACACAAATGCCAAAAACATTTGCTTCGAGGAGGGAATCATTTTATAAAATGTGTATAAAAATGCTAACAACAACAAAATTATTTTAAGAAAAGTTTGAAATAGATAAATAGGAATAAAAATAGAATGAAAATTATTAAAAATTGAAAGCTTAGTTTTAATTTCAATAAATAATAAAGTACTATGAAAGATTACTAGAAAGTTAATCCAATAGAATTTGGGAATAAATACAAAATTTCAATTAGAGAATTAAAAAAGTAATTTTATTTATAACTTCCCAGTTTAACTGATTTCTGTACTCTTTCTGCTATTTTTAGTTTCTTTCTTTTTTGATTTTCTCATAAATAATTTAATTATCTGCGTGTATAAACTTAATTTTTGTAGTTGTTGCTTTAACTACAAAAATATTGTTCATAATTTAGTCACAGGTGGAAACCGAAATGAAGTGAAAGAGTAGAAATCCCTCTACTTCTCATAAACTATTTTTTATGGTATATGTATGTGATTTTATCATTAGAACAAATGAACAGCTATGACGTTATAATCACAGAGGTGCTGAGTTTGTTAGTTAAGTTTGTAGGATTTGTTATATTTTTTTGACAGATACATGCAATATATGATGTAAGTTAACAATTTATTCTCTTCGAAGACAATTTAATGAAAAATCAATTAGCTATCTATGACTTTTGTAGAACATTGACTGTCTTCATATTCACAAATGATTGATGTTATTAAAGCTTTATAAGAGGAATTTTGAGCATTTAAACAAAAACCTTTGATATCTTTATACAAAGCAAGCAAAAAAGATATTGCCTTTTTATTTTGCTTATAAAATTAAAAAACTTTTCGATTAATTGTGATTTATATTTTTTAATTTTAAATTCACACTGCTTGAAAGTAAATAAAAAATCTTAATAAATCTACTTAAATTTAAGTAAACAAATTAAAATAATTTCCTTAAAAAACCAACAATTTTTTACTAAACAAATAAACAAAAATGAATATAAAATAAATAATATTTTTTTTATAAACAAATAAAGCAAAAAACAAAATCTACACAGTTCAGCAATTAAATGTTTGGAAGTTGAAATATATATTGAAAAAATGAAATTGAACATTGATTCATAGCAATCATAAACAGATTATTTGTAGATTTTCATTACTAATTTTTCAAAAAACATAAACAATGACATTTTCTAAAAACTCACAGTAAAATATATAAAATGAGACTCTTTATTGTCGAAAAGTACAATCTGTTTTAAATTTTATTTACAATTATTAAAAAATTAAATTGTTTTTTTTTAAAACAGTTGTTTTTCTCATTGCTTAACTAATTATAAGAAAGTTAAACGACATTTAATTCCCTTTATCTAAATACCAGTCAGTCAGTATGTATTGCAATCCAGTTATAGTCTGCCAGCCAAACTGGTATCAAACGATCAATCACTAGATATCGTTTAACATGATTAGAGTTCAATACACTTTCTTAACTTCTTTTTGTATAACCAAACACCCCTTTGTTATGTTTTGTTTTATTTTAGGACATGAGATAATTTAGGAAATAAAGAAATTATAACTGCAATCGTCTATATTTAAACATTACATGCCCCGAAATTATAATTTCAAAATAGAATTAGTTAAATACGTAGTAAGCACTTATACACATGTCATAATTTATCACAATTTTTATTGATATGTATTTTATTTTCTACGTATTTATACATTTAGAGCGTGTCAAGCAAGCGAGACAATTGCGTTTACTCCTCAAGGGTCTATGACTTTTAAAACATGCACGTTTTCTGATTTGAAAATCTTGTGAGTTTTATTTTCAAACTACGATTTAAGAATTAATGAGTGTTATAAATGCATTATAATTTATAAAATTATATCTTTATGTGTTTGTTTTTGTTGCAAAAAAAATAATCTACGGCGTATTTCTTTTTAATAGATAAAAAGTGAAAATTGTATGTAGAGAAATTCTTTATAATTGTTTTAAAATTGCTTAAAATTCCCTTACCAGCCGAATTTAGTCATAAGTATAGCTTGGAATCCGAGTTCCATAAAGTCAATATATAGAAAAAAATATTTTATAAAAAGTACCAAAATAAGTACTATTTTTACCATTTAAACGTCCCATTTTTTCTAAAACATCAAACTTGTATTCGTAATTTTTTAATCAGGTATAAATTTCAGATTTATGTTCACAGATTTTAAAGATACATGATGCCCAAAAAAGTACCAAATTACAGTTTTTACCCGTTTACTCTTATATTATTTTAATAAATTTACGCTTTTACTTTTTTTTAAGCCCTTAAAGCTTGGATTTCTAAATCCATTAGTGGATCAACAAGGACAAAATACATCTACTATCAAAATATATTGTTTCTAAAATCAGCGGCGGCGTGTCACAATGTCCATAGACGTTATGACACACTTTTTTAAAATGTCATAATGTACATGGACATTAATGTATAGACAGAAATGTATGGAAAAATTTGTTTTGAATTTAGGAAAGGGGGACACTTATGCCGAAAAGAATTGCTCCTAAATTTGGGATATGTTGCATTTTCGATTTCTTTTAAAAAGTGTCCTGGATAGCCGGCCTTCGGCCGCACGCAGGGTTTTTAAACTCTGGGGTATTTCGAATACCGGCTTCGCTAATTTAAGCCTTTTTTGATAAATAGACCCTTTGTAATCCATGGACTTTCTGTCACATTGCTTTTGGACATTATGACACTTTTGAAATTGTCCTAACGTCCATGGACATTATGACTCAATTTAGTGTTTCATAAGGTCTATGGACAATATGTCACTGGACATTATGACACGCCACCAAATCAGCACTTTAAGCCTTCTGATCCTTATGTCAGCATAACAAGAACAGAGTTCTTTCATAAAAAGGTTTGAAGTGAGACCTGTCTGTGCCTGGATCCAAATAATGAGAGAAAGTACAAGTTTTGTACAAAACATTTTCTTTTTACTATGTATAATAAAAGTTCAAATAAGAATTTTTGTCTAATTAGAATAATGTTAAAAAACTTTTTAAGCGAAATTCTATTATAAAAATCCCATAAATTAAGTTCCGTAATTTTAAAAATTAACCATAAAATTTATAAAATTTTTCATTAAAACTTACCGTTTAACCATTTTGTTGGTTATGCCTGAATTATTTTCCTGTAGAGATCCAATATCGTCGGATTTATTATAATCCAGTTTTGAAAAAATCTTTATGCGCCGGAAATTAATTTTGATTTTATAAAAACAAAATATTTACACACAAAATTTCTTTATTAATTATTTAATGTTTAGTTTATTTTTTATACTTTAGCTATTTTTTAAGTTTTAACTAAAAATTAACAAAAAAAATATTAAATTTCCAAAAAGTATTTCAAAAAACACTTTAGAATTTGAAAGAAAAAACTACAACACACACACAGTAAATATTTGCTTAAATAATGTTTTATTTATGTTTTTGTTTAAATAAAAAAGTATTACTGCAAAAAGAATAATAATTAAAAAAACGCAATAAATATTGTCTGTTGATTTTATTGTTGTTTTGTTATTGTATTAAATGACGTTGTTTTGAAAATGTGTATATAGAAGGGAGAGAGAGGGGTGAATTGTGAGTATGTACGTTTGGATATTGGAGAGTATGGAGTTTAATGGTGGCTTAATCATGCATTCGAAAAATACCCAACAACTGTAAACACACCAACAATACCCGCCCCCGCTAAACCAAACATATGCATTCACATATACAAACAGACACACACTCACTCATATTGCTCTAACAAAATATTCACAAAAACAAAAACAACAATAAAGAACTCCATAAAGAAAATGACGAAGTGATATGACGATAATGATGATTATGTTGTTGTTTTTGTTGATAATAATGATGATGATGTACATATCAAATTCATATTCTTATTTGCGTTTTTTTTTCTTTCCTTTTTAACAATATTTATTTAAAAATCTTAAATTTCCTACTTTTTTTTCGCTATTTAATAATTATTAAAGTGAAAAAGTTTTATTGTTTCTTAACAGGCTTTTTTGTAGTGCAAAAACACAAAAATCATTAAATGCAGTTTTTTTTCCAACCAACTGGGAAAAAAACCTTTTAGTGTTTTACTAGATTTTTCTTTCCATTCTATTTGCTATTTTTCATATTCTCTGCTCATTTATTAAATTAGCTGTATATAAATATTTTTTTGTTTTATTTACTTTATTTTTTCTTATAATAATTTGTATAATTACTTTTGCTTTTTTTCTTTTATACACAAAAACAGACCAACAAAAAAACTTTTAACAAAACATTAAATTTAACAATTTATACTCCATTTTCTGTTTAAAAAAATCTATAATTTTTTCACTGTGTTTGAAATTTTCAGGATAAATTGCTTTAAATTGCATTTATTTTATGTGTATTCTGCTAATTTTAACAAGTTTTAAGTTTTATTTTTTTAAATATACTTTTCGATTCACTATTTCTTAACAAATGGACAAAAAACGCATCCACACCACGAAATGAATAAAATTGAACTGAAGATGAAAAAAGTAACCAGTAACTTGTGTTTCAGTGCTCCGACAATATTAACGGCGGTGGGGGCTGTCACTAAAAATATCTTCGGCGGCTTAAAATCGACTGTAAGCCGTCTATGTTCTCAAATACATACGTTTAATTTTTAAATTTTCAACGATTTTAAATGATAACGAAATCCGAGAGATAAAAAAAGTAAGATTTTGGGAAGCAAATATATCGTTTATAACAAAACAGAACAAGCACAAATGTTGTGTGAGAAATTATTCAGATATAGAAAAAATAAATAAAAAAACTTAAAAAATTATTTTTTTTTTTAATTTTATTAATTCTTAATTATCTAAATAACATTTTAATTTGTTTTTTTAACATTATGAAAAATTTTTAATACGCCATCAAAAGCGCCTCTCGAAGATCTTTCACAAGATACCAAAATTAATTATCATTCCTTTATGTAAAGCATAAATAAAATAGGAAAAACTTTAATAAGGTTTATTATTTGATCCAGATCACCAAACATACGGATTTTTATACAATCAGGAAGCTGCGTGTCCATTTTTATGTTTAGGTTCAATATTTTACTTTTTAAATTTTTGATCAATCAGGATACTGCGTGTTTAATTTTATCTTTATATATATATTTTAGAAAACCAAAAGACCTCTTTTATTCAATTTCATGTTCCTAAAGCGACTTGGCCACACATCAAATTAGTTGACTCAAACGGTAAGTTTTTTGTGTGAGTTTTTTTCACAAACATAATTAAAAAACTTACCGTTTGAGTCAACAAATTTGATGTGTGGCGATGTCGATTAAGTTTAATATTATAGAAAATTCAAAAAGTACCAGTTAAATAAGGAAAAAATACCAGAAAATACTCCATTTTAAATTTTCATTCACTCAAGTCCCTGATTGCTTATACCCCGTTCACACGGAGCAATTATTCGTATTTCACGCTCTCATTCAACATTCAACCCCCAATTACGTACAAAATTATAAGAACAATTTTTTTTTCGAATTTCTCCCCAAATATTGAATAGATCTACAAATAATTTTTAAGAGTAATACATTTTTGTATTTACTATTTATACATATAAAAACATTTTGAAATTGTTGTTCTTGCATTTCTGGAAGTTTTCCGTTATTTTAATGTTTCATAATTATAAAATCAAATTGAAAAAAACTTATTACGCAATTTAGTGGAGCATCAATCTTGGATATAATTGGTTCTAATTATAATTTATATTAAAAATTAAATTGTTTTACTAAAATTGTATGCAAAAAGACATTGAAAAGTGGCTTCTCTGAAAATATAAACAAACAAAAAATGCCGTTTAAAATAGTCTACTACAATTTGTAAATGTAATAGATTTATCTATAAGTATGGCAGCACACAAGATGCTTTCAACTTGGCAGCACTTAAAACAAATTGTTGACTGACGGATTTCTTAACACAATTTTGTCTTTTATTTTTAATAGAATAAAGAAAAAATAATTATTTAACACATTAATTAGGAGAAGAATCTAACACAAAATGTCCTATCAATTATATCGCAATACCACCTTGGGTAATACGCTTCAGGAAAGTCTGGATGAATTAATTCAGGTACAAACATCTGTTTGCATCACACTCTCCTACCTTCGTACTTATTAATCTTTAATTTTTTTATTTACAGTATGGACAAATTACTCCTGCCTTGGCTTTTAAGGTTCTGCTACAGTTCGATAAATGCATTAATAATGCCCTGAGTCAACGTGTTAAGGCTCGTGTCACCTTTAAGGCCAATAAACTTAATACGTATCGTTTCTGTGACAATGTCTGGACTTTGATGTTAAACGAAGTGGAATTCCGTGAAGTACATGAATTTGCCAAAGTGGATAAAGTGAAAATAGTAGCCTGTGATGGCAAAAGTGCGGATTATAATTAATTCGCTTATGTTTTATTCATTTACGTCAACGTCAATTCAGTTAGTGCTATCAATGGGTTTCAGGCACTACTGTATCTGCCGATGGTTAATTAAACACTTCATTGTGGAGAACTATACCTAATTATGATTTATAGTATTAAGATTTTATAAATAATAAAAATATGGAATTTCTAAAGTAATTAGAGACAAGATTCCCTTGGCGGATGCAAATCATAATAATTGAAGAGCTCTCATCAGTTCAACATATGGTATGTATTCTTAAGAAATGTATAAAATGAATTTTCATATGACATTGCATATGTCATATAAAATCTTATAAAGGCTGTCTATTACGTTAGCCCCATATAAAAGGCCCTATCTACAAAAACATTTACATATATGACCAAGCTAACAAGTACAATTTATCCATTTTTATATACGCCATTTTCAACAACCATAACAAATGTTAGGTTTCACTATTAAAAAATTTGTTTATTGAATAAAAATAAATCGCGCTGGTAGAAACTACCTTTTCATTTTAAATAGTTTTTTGCTTCTCCTGTAAAATTTTTAAAATGTTAAATAAGGCCGTTTGCGTTTCAGGTGACGATATGAACATAGCTATGAATGTATATGACAATAGAATTTAATCCATAATGACCTAATTCCAAATACAGAACCCCTTCTGAAATTTACTCTAAGTTTGCTATTTGAGATTTAGCATAGGCGCATACAACAAGAAATGTCTCAATGATTGAATTTTTATACCATTCCCTAATAAGTATCGAATTTTCAAAAACGTTAACAAATACATTTTTGGATCGGATGTTTTTAAATCAACGACGGTTTGATGTTGGTGTTATAACGGTACTGGGGAAAAACGTTCGATGTATAAAGCTGACAATCTTTGGCTGAGTTTGATTCAAGATCCAATTTTAATTGTGAATTATCAAAATTAATCTTAATATGGAAAAGCTAAAACAAAATTTATTGTAATGATCACTACGGAATTGAAATCATTTCAATCGTGAATTTTTTATGTTTCCAATCGTGTAATTAAAAAAAAATTCCACGGTTGTAAATAACAAAAATATTTTCAAACAAGTTTTTGTTTCTAAAAATAATTTAAAAATATTTTTTTAATCTTACTAAAATGCGTCAGAATTTAAATAATAAAGATATTACGTTTTAAAATTCTATTTTTTCAAATAATATAAATCATTATTATCATCATATCAAGTTTTACATTCACGGTATTTATTTGACTAAATGTATTTTTAATTTTATTGTTGGCTATTAAAATTCAGCTTACAATTAATGCATTAGCAAGTTTTTTTTTCCAAAATCATTGATTTTTAAAATTTAATTAATCGAAAATTAATACAAAAGTCGCGTGATACATGTTAATTTTAATTATTAACACAAGTTTAAAAACAAAACAAATAATAATAACATGTCTAGAAATAAAATTACACACCAAACAAGTAAAAAAGAAAGTAATATCTTAAAGTAATTTAAGGATCTCAGCTAAAGGCAAAATAACTGAATTATTTTCTTCTAATGAATTATGGTACAATCAAAACAAGAGACATTTAATAAATCGGGAAATTGTGCCGGAAATGTAATAAGACTAGTGCTGTATAACGATTATTATACACACTCGTATAATAAAAATAAACAACTTTTCTTATTCTGTTATACATTTCCGTATCCGTTATTATTATTACGAGAGTGATGGCAATGAATCATAGAGGAAATAATGACAGTGCACTTAGAGAAACAAACACAAAATAGTGAAACTACATTCATATCATTAATGTTATAGACAAATGCGTGGCGTTATATCTAGGAAAATCAAATTTCAATATAAATACAATGTGTATTTTATGAAATTATCAAAATAAATATACATATATAAATGAGTAATAGAGTACGTAGGGAATGGTGAATCGTAATCCAATGAAAACTAATGTGTTAATTTAATTAACACAATAAATTTGTCTCATCAATATAATATTTACGTTTATTTGAATACGAGCATGTCTTAACTGAATGATTTAGTTCAGAGTGATGATGATTATTTAAGTCTATTAGGAATATTTTGTGACAATTTTTGTGAAATTGTGGAAGTTTAACAATATTTGTCAAGTTTTCTACTACGCTTTTACCTACACACGTATCATGAAACCTTGAAGTTGTCAAATTTTCCAAATAAAATTTATTAATTTTTATTTATTTAAATATTATCACTAAAATAACAAAATCTATAATTTAATTAAATACCCAGCAAAATTTAAAAATTTGACATATTTATTTAAGATAAAATAAATTGGAGCTGACACCTCAACTATCTATTTGTTTAAATTAATTTTGAAATATTAAGACAAATGTCTAACGGCGCGTATTATCAAAGTAAAACGAAATTTCCCCATTTTGTTTATTTATTAGTAAATAATTTAAGATTATAAAAAATATAAATAATTAATAACAAAGGTCGCAAAATTTTCAAGTTTGTTAAAAATTAACGCCTGAAAATACAAAAGAATAAAACAAATACATATGTACATATTTATTAAAATATTGTGTTTATTATTATTTTTTTAATAATTATTGTTATTAAGTGTAAAGTTCTTCTTATCATTGATTTATACTTACTAATTTAGTTTGTATTTGTGTGTTACTTATAAGTTATTTGTTTTATCAAATTGTTAATCTGTGACTAACATTTTCAATATCAGCATTTTCCATTTAAATAGATTATTTATCAGTATATTGATACACACTTTTCAATACACACACATTCTAATAGTGTTCTATTATCTGTTATAATATGAATATACATTTTTTGGGTTAATAGAAGTTTTTATTTATAAAATTTCACAATTGAATAAAATTCTGGACGCTTGTGACAGGTTCGATTTGGTAATCCAGATTATTATTACTGCACTTTTATGCCCTAAATTCTAAATAGAGATCTAAAAATTCAATTCACAGACATTTATATAGATAGATAGATAGATAGATAGATAGATAGATAGATAGATAGATAGATAGATAGATAGATAGATAGATAGATAGATAGATAGATAGATATATAGATAGATATATAGATAGATAGATAGATAGATAGATAGATAGATAGATAGATAGATAGATAGATAGATAGATAGATAGATAGATAGATAGATAGATAGATAGATAGATAGATAGATAGATAGATAGATAGAAGGATACATTGATAGACGTGCTAGTCCTGGTTATGACTGAATTAAATTCCCAGATTTAGTTTACATTAAATATATTAGATAGATTTTTGATTTTATAACATGAAGTAAATAAATACGTATGTAAGTATCAAAGATCTGTAAAAACTTTCAAAACACACAGAAAATGTATCACTCTAGAAATCTACTTTCTTCTATTGATTATTTTAAAGTGTAATTTTCAAGGCTTTCATTCATAACTTGTTCCCAAAAGTATTGACTTGTTATAGAATTGATAATACTCTAATTATTACTCATATACTAGTTTATGCAGGCTTAAATATATTCCATATAAACACTTGTATTTAATTTGCTCACATGAATACACATATTCATACAGACATAATATTTATTTAAACTTATTTGCATATTAATTACCCATATGTTTTACAATTTGTTGCCCTACTAAACATTTATTACGAGTATGTATTATTAATCTTGTTTTATTGTAATCTCAACACATCACAGATCTGACGAACAAAAAAAGAAAATGCCAACTCATAAAAACCAATAAATGCTCTCGTTCCCCCACAAATATTTGCATAGATCGAAAAAGTAAAACCGACGACAGAAAGACTAACAGACAGACATTGAAGTACTGACTGACTAAACGAATGAAAAAAATTATAACAAATGAAGAAAGAAGGAAAAAAAAACAAAAATAATATACACTTTTATCATTAGCACTCAGTGACAATTTGTTTATTTTGATATCAAGCAACTTAAATATTTTAACCACATAAACAAGCGACGACGAAACATATGCGGTACTTGTTAATTGTATAAAAATATTGCTCGACTCTCCCTGCAATATCGTAAGTAGATGATAAATTATATATACAGTTCCTTTACCTCCTCTTTTGTTGCCCTATTAGCAATAAATTTCATTATTAGAAGAGTTTGTTTGTTTGTACGACTGACTACTGAAGTGTTCATAGTAGTGAGTGTAGTAATTGGTCTAGTTTCTTGTTGTTCTATTTCTTTAACTGAGCAACTGATATCAGTTCAGTCGTAACAAGAGCAAAATATACATATATGTATGTATAATAACAAAAACAATTGTTATCAATCAATTATTTATTCATTCTTATAACAAAATGGTTTCTCTCTAGCTATTCTTACTCTCTTTTGTAAATTTTATAAAAAGTGTTTTGCAAAAACAAACAATATCATACGAGAAACTAATATGTCTCGAGTATCATTTAAGGAACGAGTATCATTTACTACACTGAGAAAATTTGTCACATACACATACATACATATTTTCATGTTTTGTTGTTATCAAAAAAAAAAAAAAAAATAGAATTTATTCCTAAAAAAAATTTTTAAAGTCTATGTCAGATTTTAATCTGGTAGACTGAAATCACAATCGAACGATGCCTACAAAGTTATTTGCCTAAGTGACTAACATAGTCTCTAAAATTATAATATTTTCCTCTTTGAGACGGTATCAAATCCGACAAGTATTTCGTATAATCCCGTGATTATAGACAACGAAACAACTAGCTGAGTTCGATACAGATAAGTGCGTATGAATTTCCCAGAGATTTGACCCACCGACCCTATAACTAAAAAATGTTATAGTCCCAACCGCAGTATTCTACTTGATGTACAATTAATTTCTCCAAGTGTATTTGTAATACTAATAATATCGGTACTCTCGTTCTCTCGACAAAACAATTTGCCTATAGCTACTAATACCATTATATTTATTAATAACAATAATAATAATGGCAAACGTTTGTTGTTTTTGTTCTTGATTACATTACCAACACAATTGCACCGATTTTCAGAAACAACAATAATAATAATAAAAGAAGTTCGTGCTATACAAAATACAAAGCGATTGCTAGCTGTTAGCTACATACTCACACTGCTACATACAAACTGCTAGCGCTAACAGGCAGACTGTCAAGAAATTTTAACCAGCTCAGTGAACTAACTTAACTAACCAAGCAACCAACCAACGAAACCAAACATTGAGCAAATAATAAATACTACATTCAAACAGCAAGCAAGAAAGAAAGACATCTAACAGCTGTGTTATTTTTTCCTGACATCAGTAAGCGTTCGAACGTGAATGGAAGTTAAAGCTCTGTGCGCGCTAAAAAATCGAATGAATATTTTTTTAATTTTTATTACTTTTTAAAAAGTCATTCGTTGTACTGTGACGAGACAGCTCCTTCCATTAATCAAGCACGTCTGCTCCTTCTCCTACTGCTATAGCAAGCATATCACATTGCAAGTCGTCAGTCAGTCAAATGCACTCACGTAGAAATTGCAGCCAGACAAACGTAATAATGAACTTTACTACATTTTCTTAAATAAATAATAAAACCGGGAACTGCTACATGACGATAAAAATAAAAACAAATAAAAAATATTTCATAATTTTTTAAATTGCCATTAAACCAATAAAAAAATCGCTCTACTTAAAGTAACGAGCAAAAAATTAACTGAAACAAAACAGAAGTGAAGCTAAAATCTGTCAAGTGTCAAATGCAAATTACAAACATAATTTTAAAGAATTAAATAAAAATTCAAATAAATTCAATAACATTGAATTAACTAGAGCTGTTAGTGTTTTTTAATTTCATACGTGAAAAAATTGAAATTGTTGTAAATTAGAAAAAATTCAATCAAAATCACGTTTAAAATTTAAAAATTTTTTAAAATAAAACACACGCTATTCGCATTATAGATTTATGCCAAAAATTACAATAACAAAATCTGCATTGTATAAAAAAAACCGTTAGTTAACTTCGCTACAAATAATAAACGTCAATAAATTAAATGTCAAACAATTGAAGACATAAAAACAAAAAGAGACAACAACAACAAAAAGCTACTTGGAGATATTTAGGAAATCGAGTTTAGACTCATTTTTGGCTAACATTATTCATAATCTGGTTTATTATTATTATAATTAAGTGTAATTCTTTAAAAATAAATTTAAACAAAAAATCCAAAACTAAAAAGAAAAACTTGAAGTCATTCAACTAACCCAACAAACGTACAAGGGAGGAGAGTCGTTGAAACAACAAAATAAACCAAAACCAAGCCAACACTACCACCAACGAACCATCAGCACCATCATCATCATCATCGCTGAACAGTCTTTTATATTCGATTTTTTGTTAATAACTAAAAACAACACTAACACACGACTCACTCACTTACTAGCCAAGTTAAAAAAGCCACAACAACAACTTGTTGTTAACCAACTTTGCTTAAAAAAAAACGTTAAAAAATACAAAAACTAGAGTTCTTCCTCTTCTTTAGAAACGCCAACAAAAGAAACTTCAAATCCGAAAAGAAGCAAGAAAAAAAGCGAAATTTTGTGCTAAAAATATCATTTTTATATAAAAAACATAAAACTACAACTACAGCAACAGCAACAAGAACAAAATGGATTACATCGTAAAAGCATATAAAGATTGGAAACTGCATTCACAGGTAAGAAGAATTTCTACTTCTTTAGACACATTTCGTATTGAAAACAAACTTAAATTACGTACAGTGACTGCCAGTTAGTATACGTTCGTTTGGCAATTTATAAAAGTATACGTTTTTTTTAATTACTCTACATTTAGGTAATAATCCATTGCAGAATATTAAGGCTTCCAAACGAAAAAAATATCGATTGGAATTGGAGTGCAAATAGGGCTGATTATTAGGAATGCTAAAAGTTTCTTTAAAAATGCTTAGATTCGAGAGATTCTTAAGAAAGTTTGAGTTTGTTGAAGAGTTCACACACAAAGAGTTAAAAGTTGGAAAATCTTTAGTTCTTTAAAAAGCAAGAAGTTTTCTTAAGAAAGCTCAAGCTTCTTGGAATGTTAAAGATTTCCTTAGAAAAACTTGAGTACATGGTCTCTTTAGAAAATTGTAAGCTCGTTGGATAGTTCAAAGATTCCCTAGGAAAGCTCAAGATCGTTGGAGTGTTAAAAGTTTTGTTAGGAATGCTCAAGCTCGTTTGAAAGTTAAAGGTTTCCCAATGTTAAAGGCTGGAAGCTTGAGATGGATGGTAGAGTAGAAAGTTTTCTTAGAGCTTTCTGAAAATTCAAAGGTTTCTTTAGGAAAGCTTCTTTAGAAAGTTAAAGAGATTCTTAGAAAAGCTTAAGGTTGATAAAAAGTTAAAGATTTCCCTAAGAAATATTGAGTTCGTTGGAGAGCTAAGAGTTTTTTAAGAAAGTTTGAGATTATTTTAGTTTAATGTTTTCTCAGAAAAGCTTCAGCTTATTGGAAACGTATAATTTATGAAAGCCTGAGTGCCTTTGAAAATTGAAGAATTCCTTAGGAAAGTTTAACCTTGTATCAGAGTTAAAAGTTTCCATAAGAACTCGTTGAAGAAATTTGGACAATTAGAAAAAAGTGCTTTTTTTCTATTAATATGTTCGAACAAGCTTTAAATCATTGGATTTAATACAAATATTACTAGACTTTTTTCATTAGAGTTAACAAGTAGCTGTTGACCTCCTTTAAAGTCTTTTAAAGTTTTTCTATTATATATAACGGGGTTTCAATTAACTTTGGTTTCCAAAAAGTTGTATGAAGAGAGACTTGTATGGATCGAATTCTTAAGAATTTTAATTGATATTGATCTTTATTTAATTACAATTTAAAATCGTAAAAACAAATTTACATTTTTACAACTTCGACTCCACAGTTCCACAACATGTTAATCAATACGTATAAAATATTTAAACCGCAACCACAATATTTTGAGTTTATGAAATCCTTAAAAACAAGCGTTTTGAATTTCTTATATTTTTGTAATATTGACTAAACTGCGATATCACCATATATGACTAATAACACAAATAATTTGCAAAAAAAAAAAAATCAACAAATGTGGGTTAATTGTAAGGTGTAAATTATGTGAGATTCTGAGAATTTTGTTCTTCAATATGACATGAAGAAAAAAGAGTCTTCAGAAAAAAACCCTTTTGAAAAATTACCCAAATATATTTGATTTAGACTACAGCGAAACTTGGCCAATATTTATTTGTTAAGATAAAACAAAGTTAATGGGTTTCTGATGAAAAAAAAATCCCACAAGAAAATCTTTTTTCTTGCATTTCCGGTTGTATAAATGTTTAATTAATTAACACAGTTTTGTATTTAGTCTAAACTGGGGTTAAAAAATAAATAATAATGAAAAAATATCAATTACTTGTTTTGTAAAACCCCACTTTGTATGGGGGATTTTGTATTGGATTAGTTTCGTTTTAACATTTTAAATATTGAGTTAGGTTGAGATTTATATTTTAGTTAGAAATTTTGATAAAAAGGTTGAGATAAATAAGTTTATAACTATAAACTTTTTTATAAAGTTTACAAATTTACAATTGAAGGGCTTATTACAGCAATAACTAGATAAATCCCAAATTAAAAAAATAGACTTAAAAGTTCTTTTAAAAAATAAATTATTATTTAAGAATCTTATGCTTCTTAATTTCAAAATGTTTACTAATTTCCTTAATTGCCATATAAATATAACAAATTATTAAATTAAACTTAAATAAGTTTTCATTCCATTGTTATTTGAGTCTGAGCATTGAAAAGACTGACTCCCGGATACTTGTATTATTGAATGAATTCACTGAACCGGTTTAATAATTGAATCTACGAAAAATGTTGAATTTGAAAATGTTTCATGACACGTCAGATTTAATTTGATCTAAAGAATTTATGCTGAGTACTCGTCAATTATTGCTAAAGTCGTTGATTTTTATACACTCGTCTGAATGTATTCACATGGTAAATTAATTAAATTTTATACTACCTTCATATAAATAATAACAACAATAATTTAAACAAATTAAAAAACCCCTTAACTGGTGATTAACAAAAGATCAAAACAAAAAAAAAAAAAATACAAATCTTAATAATCAAGGCCAAACATGAGATTTAGCTTTAAAGTTTAATAATAATTGTTTCAAGCAATGAGAAGCGGTTAGGAGTTTTAAAAAAATGTACAATGTTTTATATAGCAATTTACTATGTATTTGTTTAACAATTGTGAGAAATGACAAATTAATTATTGTATTATTATTATTATTTCATTAAATGTGTGTTGTGTATTTTTATGGCCAATATTTTTATTATATTTCATTAAATATAAACGTTGTTATCAATCATTTTTTATTATATCAAGAAACAGAACCACCACTTAAAATTTTATTAAAAATTTTTTTACGGCAAAACGAAATCAACAACAACTTTGTCAAAAGCTAAAAATAGTTTGTCGTTTTGTTAGATTACAAATCAATTTTATTAAAAAGTGGAACTTTACTGGGAATTATATGTATCATCATTTTTTTTTTTTTTTGGAGGGTTGAGTTTTCTTGTTAATAATATTTTAATTGCAAATAAATCCTTTTCAATGGTTAGTTCCGCTTTTGTGAGTTTTTTTTTATAGAGAAAATGATAAATTGCAAAATACCAGCAGTCACTTCCTGACTGGTTTTATTTGATCAATTGTTAATATATTTTGTTGTTTAATTGTGTTAAAATTTTGATTAAAAGAACTTTTAGATTATATTAAAACGTACGCCCCTCTAATAAATCTAAAATAAATATTCAGCAAATATTTTATTTTTAACAAAGAACCGATTTTTTCACAATTTGTATCAAAAACTCGGATTCCTGTTCGATATCGAGTGCCATGATCTCTAAAACAAAAATTTCGAACACGATTCCAATAATACTACCTTAACTCTTAACACGGTTTCTATTTTATCTTCTTCGATACGGTTTTTGATAAATTTCCAACACGATCAATGAGGAGAATGAGGAGGAGATTTGATACCTGATTTTTAAAATTTTGATTTTGATATTTTAAGAATCTTGATTTCTAAGTAAATTGTAAAAAATATGAACACTCATACTATCTTAAAAAATATCTATCCATATACATACATATAGAACCAACAATAATGGTTTAATGTAAAATTCAATATTTACAATTTATATCTACAATATTGACAATTGATAGACATGACAAAAACTACAACAATCTATAACTTGTAAATGGTATAAATTGTAATTTGTTTTCTTTTAAATCATGCTTTTATATAGTCATTCATATAAACATATTTATCTGTTGGATATTTGCAAAGTAAGAAAAAAAATTCAAATAAACAACACGAGACAATTTCAAGGTTTTGAAACAACAAATTTTCCATTAAATGTATATAGACCGAGAGAGATACATACTTGGTTACTGTTAATATTTTTCATTATTTTTGTTCATAGTAGTACTAATGATAAAACAAATCAAAGCAAAAAAAATTATATTTTCACTGCGTCAAAAAACAAAAACTATATATCAGTTATTTATTTATACATATTTGTATCTGTATTAAACAAAAAACAAGAGTAAAATAATATATTTAAAGAGTTTTAAAAGAGTTAAATCAATTTACCTCTCAAATCTAATAATTTTCGAGTTTTAAATTATTATACTTGAGTCAAAACGGAGTCACTACCACTCTACTTGACTGTTTTTCTTTTAAAAGTCCTTCCCAGCCGATGTAAAATCTAGTTGGATTACTACACTCATTCCATTTGGAATGGATTTTAATGGGAACTCAGACTTGAATGTAGAACAAAAAACAAACTTAACTCAAAAAGTATTCCGGACCCATAAATTATATACATATAATAAAAAACATTACTCTTTTAAAACAATGAATCATTTAATAATAAAATAAAATATTGGGCATTTAACAATATAATCTAAATACCAAGATAACAAATATTTTGATTAAAGACACGTTTTTATCGTATCAAGATAATAAAATACTTAAATTACTTACTTGTTAAAACGTGAAGATGTTGAATTTTTAATCAGAAAACTTTTACTTCTGGTCAATTTGCTACAAATTTAAAAAAAAAAAAACTTTTTTAAAGATTCATAATCTTAGCAAGGATTACGTAGTCCTCATTTTATGATAGTTTCAAGCTTTAGGTTAACATATTCCTCTCCAGTCAGGAAATAAGCTTTGACGTCAGCTGTTCTTTTGACAAAACAAAATAAATGATAAGTTAAAAACAACATTCAAAGATTAATTTCAATTCAAATGCTGATCTTCAAAGTTAAAAACTAGCTCTAGGTGAATGAACCATTCAAAAGCCATGCATTCTTTTTAATGAAAAAAATTTAAAACAACTAAAGTTTTTGTTTAATAAAGTGTAATACTATTAACAGACACAAAACAAAACTGTTTTAAATTATTATTTAATTTTTAATTAAAACAGTGAAAATAATTATTTAATATTAATACAATGTTTTCAATGCATAACGCAGCGGCATATTAAATTAAATAAACGTATTGATTTATTTCACTTTTTATAAATGTTAACAACAATAAAAACAACAAAAAGTAAAAACTAATTTTAAATAAAAAGCAAACACATACTAGATAGACAATATTATTTCTTTTGTAAAGTAA